AGTAAAGAGAAGAAAAGAAAAGAGGGGATAAGAGAAGAAAAGAAGAGATAAGAGAAGAAAAGAGGAGATAAATGAAGAAAAGGCAAGAGAAGAAAAAAGAAAAGAAAAAAAGAAAAGAAAAAAAGAAAAGAAAAGAAAAGAAAGATGAGATAAGAGAAGGGAAGATAAGAGAAAAAAGAAGAGATAAGAGAAGAAAAGGAAAGGAAATGAAAAGAAAGGAAATAAAAGGAAAGAAAAGGAAAGAAAAGGAAAGAAAAGGAAAGAAAAGGAAAGAAAAGGAAAGAAAAGGAAAGAAAAGGAAAGAAAAGGAAAGAAAAGAAAAGGAAAGAAAAGAAAAGTTAGGAGAAGAAGATAGAAGAGAAGAGAAAAGAAGAGAAGAGAAGAATAGAGAAGAGAAGAGATGAGAAGAGAAGGTTAGAGAAGGAAAGGAAAGGAAAAATATAAAAGGAAATAAAATCAAATCAAATCAAATTAAATAAATTAAAATAAAATAAATAAAGTAAATGAACGGAATACGAGATTTTAGAACACCGCAAACGAGACACGAATGATGGTCTCACGCTCGGCCAATTCCCGATTCCTGATCCCGCGCCATCCTCCCCCCCCCCCCCCCCCCCCCCNNNNGACGGCGCGGCCCGTTTTGATAACTCTATTAGGTCTCCCGATGCGCTCGGCTCGGCTCTGCGCAGCCGCAGATCAGACAGTCTCGAGCGGTCACCGCGCAAGGACAGTCAACTCAGAGCGCCGCGCGCTCCGACGATTTTTTGTCTGCCACCTCCCCGATTTTCCGCCTCGATTGAGACATCAACGCACCCTTTAAGGCGTTAACTGGCGTTAATTCCCCCTCACTATGTGCTTATGTTGATTGTGCCGCGTTTGCGCGTATCTTCGTTCGTGTAATCGAACCGGGCTTTGATTTTCCGACTAGGCGATCGGGATTTTTTCATGTGCGGTCGTACCAGTGAAAATTGTCTCGAAAAACGTCTAAACTTTGCGGTTGTTTTTATTGTTTCGGGTGAATTTTTCAAGATTGTTATCATGTCAGGAGATTTTTCTGAAGCGCAGTGAAAACGGCTTTGAAGAACGTCTAAATCTTGCGGTTTTTAGTGTTGTTCGTGTGGATTTTTCGAGGCAGTTATCGTACCTGTCATGAGATTTTTCTTTTCGAATTGAAATGGTTGGATGGTGAGAATTTCACGACATTTTTACTCTTTTTTGGTTGAGTTGCAGCCATTTTAGTGTTCGTGATTACTGACCGCGTTCCGTTGAGAGAAACCGTGTCAATGGAGATGGTCCTGTAAAACGTGTGGACTTCGCGGTTTGTTATTGTTGTAAGTGTGGTTTCTCCGAGACAGTTATCATATCAGGAATTTTTTTTCTTCAAATTGGAATGGTCGCATAATTAAATGGTGAGTCTTCTGTCTCGTCTTCAATATTTTTTCGTCCTAATTGTAGCTGAAGCACCTATTTGGTTTTTTATCGAAAATTGTCACCAACGTGTAGACTTTGCAGTTGTCATTGTTGTTTGTGTGAATTTTCCAGTACGCTTAGCATACCAGCAGCTCCATCTCCTGGTACGCTTATCATACTAATAAGAGACCTACCTATTGTGGTGGAATGGTCTAATAAATTCAATGATGGTGAGCATTTCGTCTCATTTTTAATTTTTTTTTTCGGCAAAATTGCAGCTTAAGAGGTGGTGTTTTCAAAGACAGTCGTGGAAGGCGTGTGGCCTTTTGATGGTGAAACTGCAGAAATGCGTGCCTATTTCTGTTTTCGGTGTTGCAGACTTCAGATGGTCATACTCTACGTTTTCTTTGGAAAGCGAGTCAATGTGATTTCTTTAAAACTTCGCTGATTTGAAGGGAACATTTTGTGACACCATTGTGGAGATGAAAGTACACTATTGCGTTTTTGCATTTCGGCCATCGACACATTGATATCATGCAAAAAGCAAAATTCACTTATTTAAAGATGAGTTGATCATCAATTAAGTACTAAATACACAGGAACACGTCATGAAGAGAAGTGGCAAAAATAAATAAGAAAATACGAGATTTTTCGCCTAAATTCTCAGGCATTTTCAATCGAAAATAGGAAAAGTAGCAAACACAGTTAAAATCTAAAACACGATCATCTCCCAGACCGGGGTAACGAGGCCTTCTTTTCTTTGAAATGATTGAAATGCTTGCTGATTTGAATGATTGAAAATACCTAGGAATTCAGGCGAAACGCCTCGATTTTTTCTGTTTTCGTTTGTAGCCTTTTTCTGCTTGATCGTGTTCTTGTGTACATTATTTCAGGCTGCCTTAAATTCAACGTTCCCCGGATAGGTTTCCCGAGATAAAGTTCCCTGCTTACGCGAGCCGAAAAAGTGTTTCCACAAAAAACTTTTTTTTTTCATTTTTCTTTTTTAGTTGTTAGGTTTTTCAGTCCACTGGTGGGAAGACAATTTTACATTGGTAGGAAAGAGGGCTTAATCTATGCTTATTTTACCATTTGTAAGCCGAACGTAGCCCAACCCCTCCCCTCAAAAAAATCCGAGAGCTTTCCATAATTTTTGCGCGACCTTTGCGCGTGTGATCAGGAAAAATGTCAACCCCTGTTCTTTTCAGTGAGTGATAAACTTCAAAATGAACTTGTTTATTACGTCCTCCAATGTTGAGGCGGCACATTTGATATTAGAGGTTTTGGTTTAAATGTTTACCACGTATGAAATTTTGACCGTCAGATGTTTGAGTGAATATATAACATGTTTGGTAACTAGTAAAATATAATAAAAAAAAATGAAAAAAGCTATAAGTTACAGAATAGAATTCTACTTTATTAAACGCAAAGCTCTGGTGCTGTAAGGAAAGTTCAATCTCGAAGAAATATTAAATGTAAAAGGAAGTAAGATTTAATAAATTAAGTAACTTTTCTCGGAAAATTATACATTTAGCGCTCCCGATTTTGCTTCTCCAATCACGTTCGGGGCATTTTCGGACGGATGCACGGAGGAATCGAGCAGACATTGCCAGAATACATTGCGAGCGTTGTTCAATGCCAGGATCAAATAAGTCGGATTGAGTCTCACGAATTCGAACGAACGTGAAGAGCGTAAAAAAGTGGTCGTTAAGAATTATCCTCGGTCCTCTCACGAAAGGACGTAACTACATTTCAACGTTGCCAAATTTCCCCTCATATTGTATTTTTACAGGAAAAATCCTGGACATTCTACTGAAAATTTCGAAGATTTTTCCTCCAATATTATGCAAAAATCAGAAGAATTTTGGACGCAAATTGCCGCGGTACATTCTTGTAAAAATCGACGTTGCCTAGGCGAAGTTAATGCCAAAGCTGCAAAATTTACTCTAATAGTTCGTATTTTTATTAAGAATGGACCTGCGTAATATATCTGTCGAAAATTTGTCTGATTTTTGCATGAGCTCAAAAGAAAAATCAGCGCGAATTTCAGCTGGAAATTCCCGAGATTCTTCTGGTAAAGAAACAATCTTCGCGTGGAAATTTAGCAATATCGAAATGGAGTTATACGTCCTTTCGTGCGAGGAAAATGACGGATTATCGAATTATTTAAGTCAATATTGCAAACTTTGAGTGAAGTTATGCGTTCCTGCGTACAGGAAACGAAGTCCTATGAACACCGACGTGCTAAGGAAGAACGCCGTATGAACATTCGAGCGTTGCCAAATTTTCTCGAATAAAACATGTATTTTTAGGAAAATTATAAATATTTCTCCTTCAGATTTCCTTCAGATATTTTAGATATCTTGAACAAAATTGACTGAAAAATGTATAGGAAAATATTTCCAATTCCCTCGGAAAATTCGGTTTTTTGAAGGAAATATGGCAAAGCCTAAATGATCATACGGCGTTTTCCCTCAGAATGGCAGAACAGAGGTTCGATCATGTGCCTTGGGTGTGTGTTCAATATTTTACGCTCAGTTTCGAGAGAGAGATATCTATCTATCTCTCGAGATATCTCTTTCGGTCATTTACAGGCGAGACCACGACAACAGGGCCGCGTCCCGATGCATATCCTATAACGGGAATGACTCGCATAGAGTGATTTCCGCTTGGAGTCATGAAGGAGCTAATGGATGTAAATAAAGTTACCTCCAGCATAATAATCCAATGGTCTAGACTACATGACCGGATTTTGTCCCGTGGGTGAATATTTATAAATGGGGCAAAATGTGGGAAACAATGTACCCATACGACTGTTATTGCTACGTACCGTTTTATTTACATTGGGGTACTGGGAAAACTAATTTTGCAGACATGGATTGTATTATTCTCGTTCTATAGAATTTGATAGGTCGGAGGTATATGCCTTTGTGGCACAAAAAACTACTGGGGTGATCATACATTAATGAATAAGATATAAATTAGCATTAATCAGAGTTTGGCCCCAAATGATACCTTACAACCGCAAAAGATCACAGGACAATGCTGCCATGTTAAGGAATAACGCCGTATAAACCTTTGAGAGTTGCCGAATTTCCCTTGATAAAACAAGTATTTTTGACAACATTCATGCATACTTTTACTTGAAATTTTCAGATATTTTAGCTAGAATTGCGCACAAAATTGTCTGACAATTTTGGAAAATGATAGAATCCGCAATTTTTCCAGTGAATTCGGTTTTTATCGGAGGAAACTTGGCAACGTCTGAAGGCTCATACGGCGTTCTTCCTTAGCACGGCAGAATATAAATGCGATCGCTCACCGAGAGAGGAACCTTTACAGTCCATCGAGCCAAAATTCCTATGAGAAATAATTTTTGTCGAGCTTCGTTCAGGATTGCTTCATTTTCTCTGTTTTCCTTTTCATCCCAGGGTTACGGCCGGTCTGGGAAAAAGGAGAAGTTGGGAAATTTTCGATGACCGTGAAAAGTCATGTAAGGTCAGGGAATTAGTGGGAAAAGTCAGGGACTCTCTGACACAATGACAGAAATGAGGATTTAAGAGCACCGAATTGGTGTGTTTTCGTTCTCACAGATTCAATTACGAGCCCACAGACGCCTGATTCCCTAAAAATGAACTTCATTCTCGCTGAAATTGCAGTTCATTGCCGAAAGACAAGTATACTTAAGGGCACTTTAAAGGTCCAAGTTGGAACAGATTCGCTAATTTCAATGACCTCTTTGAAAAATGAGGATTTAAGAGTACCGAATTGGTGTGTTTTCGTTCTCACAGATTCAATTACGAGCCCACAGACGCCTGATTCCCTAAAAATGAACTTCCTTCTTGCTGAAATTGCAGTTCATTCCGGGTTCAGAATCCGAACCATCCCGGCAGGTCCCGACCAGGGAGGTCCGGACGGGAGTGTTGCATGTGCGGAGTTGGACACACTGGCCCTGACCGTGGATACCACACAAGTGTACGCGAGGTGTCGCCGGTGTCACATGACTTGTACTCCTGTCCTGTTCGCTGTTCTCTCTCCCCGCGCGGTCCTCCGTCTCGGCCAGGGTGTCACAGAGGTGCGTGTGAACGTCGCCCTCAGAGACCGCGGCACCGGGATCCCTTCAAAATGCATAGATTTTACTGTTAAGTTCAATCGTCACGAATAACGAACCGCGGACTTGGAGGAGAATATCGACGGTGAAACTACCAAACCGCGTTTCTCGTTTGCGGTGTTTAAAAATCTACGCTCACATTTTATTTTTTTGAAGTAGACCAAATCAATATCATTTCTTGAAATTTTCACGCAATTTTCTCCGCACAAAGAGGAAAAATCACAGAAATTTTCAAGACTGGATGCTAAGTAGTTTTTCATTTAAAAAATAAAGTATGACAGGAAGTCTGCGACGTCGCAAACCGAGATACGTGGTTTGGTAGTTTCACCGTCGATATGCTTTGTACTTACGTTACTTCCGGTATCCGGTACCGGTATTTTTATGGCCCACTCTTCAATCCAAGCAATGGAGAATTTGCAGGTGTCAGACATTTTGTGAATTTCATGCTCAAGAAGAAACTAGGTACTGAGTGAAGAACTGAGCAAGAGGATATCATTGGTTTGCACAAAGAAAAATTAGGTATTGGGTTGGATTTTTGCATAAAAAAACCAGAAGCATTCCAATGTCGCTAAGATCTTGCAACTTTTTTGTACCTGGAAAAAAAAACACATTGGATCTAGAGTCCAGACTCTTAAAAACATCGACAAGAAAAAATACTCTTGATTCAATCGGATTTTTGCTTAAATCCAGAACCAAGCCTCTTAATTTGAGCGGATTTCCTTTTGATTTAAGCTTAAATCTGATTGAATCAAGAGTATTTTTTCTTGTAAATGTTTCCAAGAGTCTGGACTCTAGATCCATGTGTTTTTCTTCCAGTGCGCAAGTATAAACTAATCATGTAAACAAGTTTTATCTTTACTCCCAATAAACTGTAAATCCAAGACGAAAATTACCTTTGTTTTAATTTTGTGCATGATTGTAGTATTTTATTGCAAAGAACGTGAGTTGCACAGTCCTAGCCACATTAAAATGCTTTTTATGCAAAACGCAATTTTATAATTAGAGGAGGTATGACAAAATGACCTAATCTGTCAAAATACATGTGTTTACAGTGGAAAAGACGACTGATAACATCACAAGGCGCGGCAGATTTTTCACTTTTAAATCTGGTTTTCCATAATTTCTCATAACAAAAAAAAAGAAGCATGAAAACCTCTGCGAACCCAATTCAATAATCGCTCTCCGATGCAACAATAAACTTTGTGTGTGCAAATTCTAGGTTTAAACATGAGCGATTAAGTTTATACTTGTGTCTAAGGTAAATACGCCGTACCCAGGGTTGCAAATGTCATTCAGGGGAAACCTGGTGGACGGGGAATTTGAAAACAACCTGGAAAATCAGGGAATAATCAGGGAAAACGCTCAGAGTCAGGAAAATTCTTAGTTTTTTCTTTTAATTTTTCTTATTTAGGCATGCAATAATTTATAATATTTCCAGGTAGCATGTAATTTGTATTCAGGGTTTTGCAAATTTCAACTCCATGCATCCAATTGCGGTGCTTCAAATTTCGCATCACTGTTTTTAAAATGATTGTTTTCTTATTTTTTTTTTTTTTTTAAGTCAGGGAATTTAAGCACTAGTGGTCACAGGAAATCTTTCCCAAAAGTCAGAAAATTTCAGGAAATTTTGAAATTTGATTGAAATTGCAACCCTGGCTAGGTATCTTCGTTTAATATGTTTTCAATGCTTTCTGACAAATTGTCATCTGTTATTAACCACCAATAGACAACGATGAGTACCTTCCCAATATCCAATTGTAATTTTATGGTTGGTAACGACTCTGTGCCGGTTTTTTCAAGATCGAAGTGACTGCCCCTTTCGACCTTAAGACCTCCATGAAATAACGAGTTCAAACTTTCCCTAATGGTACTTCGTAGTAAAAGTTCAGTTCGGTGATCAATATACTGTTTGCGAAGAAAGCAAGATTTGACGCCTCTAAATAAAAGCCGCTGGCCAAAAGTGGCGCTTAACAATTGGCACAACTTTGGTATTTGTCGAGTCCTTGATCCTGGCATTCTTTTCCGTAGCTTTATCAGGCTTTTTTATGGCTCTTAGAAATGTGAATGTGGCGCCTTAAAAATTATGCTTGCCAGGAAAATGACTCTTACAATGGACCATGCGGCAGAGAATACGGAACTAAATGTTTTAAAAGTACTTCCTCATTAAAATTTCATGTAAAATAAGTACGATGAAAGCGTTAAACTTTTCGGAAGCTAACCCATAAGTAAAAAATGGGTATTTTCCGTTTCAATTTGATCTGTCTGCCAGCACAAAGATCGAGGTCTACAACTCGAGTAAAATTGGTGACTGGTGAATATACCTGGTGAGTGGCTGCGCAATTTGCTGTGAAAATTTTTGCAATAAATCCGGTTCGGTTTGCGAAACCAAGTGCTCAGTTCTTTGGCTAGCAAAAATCATTCGGCGAATTTTAGCGGTGACTTCCGAGAATAACTTTTACGGGATACGGAAGATAGCAATGCTGAGTTTCTAAAATGTATTGTCTCTGGGTTGAATCAGGCGACACTGATTTAAAACCCGCACCGCAATATCTCATCTTTTTTCTTCCGAATAAATCCCTTATTTATTTCGTCCATTGGAAGCTTCAATTGCGCCTGCATCGTATTTTCTTGAATGGCGTCTAATTGACCTACTTCTCTATCCTTGGAGAGTCGGAGAGACTCATTTCTCATTGGAACCCCGGGAAGGGTGCCTTAATTGGAAATGGTACATGCATGGAACCAAAAACCGCCTCAACTCTTTCCGGTCTTCCGGAGCTCGTACCCGCATGTCTGGGTCGCTCAGCGTCATCGTACCCACGGATTTCTACTCCCGCACTGAGAAAGAACGCCGTATGAACTTTCCAATGTTGCAAGATTCATCCCACGAAAATATATAGTTCTTAGAATAGTTACACGCAGAAATAAACTTCGTAGCAAATGAAACACCAAATTTTTCGGTCCAGGTCATCGATATCTTCGATTGTACAACAGCGGCTTCCGGTTTAGGTATCAGGTTCAGATCTTTTAGATTAAAATAAATTCTCCATTTAAGGTACCTACGACCCATTTTTGAGGAAGCCAGAGTGCTTTTATGCCGAAGAAGCTGATTGAAGTCAATGTTCCTAAATGATTAAAAAACGTCTCTGGTGCATGTTGTTAACCTACCTTGATGAGGATGAGGCCGAATCACAGAAGGACCTAGATAGGTTGATTGAAAACTCGAGAGGTGGGTAATTTTTAAACTGAGCAAGATTTGCCGAATGAACGCATTTATGGCAAAAGGAACTATGTGGCTAGAGATTGCGTGCGACAGTTCCTTTCACTCTGAAAAAAAAATCTCGGTGTATTTACTAAGAAAAGGGTAAAATTACCAAGAATTCAGGGTTCTATTTGATCCCAGTTTTTTCTTGGTAAAATTGTCATTTATGGTATTGGTAATTTTACCGAGAAATCTCGGTAAAATTATTGAACTTTCTTTGTAATTTTACTGGACCTTGGTAAAAACTCCAATATTTTTTATCGACTATGGTAGAATTACCGAGATAAAATGGCAAAGTTACCGGGAATTGATTACCAATAAAAGTGGTATTCTTACCTGAAAAAAACAGTAAAAATACCGGTTTTTAGGTAAGCTTACCATTTTGTCTTGGTAAAATTACCAATAATTGGTAAAAAAGTGAGATGGTAAAGGTACCAACGGACCTTGGTAAAAACGCCGAGAATTTTTTTCAGTGCAGTATAAATACGTCCTATTATTTAGGAAGGTGATAAAAAAAGAAGAAAAAGCGGCTGACTCCATGAGTCACATATCTGTAATAAAGCGATTTTTTGACATTTTTGGAGTCAGGTCTTATTCGAACTGCACGCTTATGAAACCACCAAAAATTCGAAGTAAGAAGAAAAAGAAAATAATAGGAAATCATTCCATCCCAAGAAAGTGCCTCTTCGTGCTCCACGAACGCAATTAGCGGTTTTTAGGATTTTGACAAGGTCTAGTTGACTGTAGTAACACGTCAAAACAAAAAGACATTTTTATTCTGACGTATCGGCTAAAAATGTAAAAATCAATCGATGAGTGCATCTCATAAGTTAAATTTCAGCTTTCTACAGATGCAAAAACATCTGAAAGCGTTCTTTGTACTCGGTACACTGGAAAAAAAACACATTGGATCTTGAGTCCAGACTCTTGAAAACATTGACAAGACAAAATACTCTTGATTAAATCGGATTTTTGCTTGAATCAAAACGAAATCCGCTTAAATCAAGAGGCTTGGCTCTTGATTTAAGCTAGATTCTGATTGAACCAAGAGTACTTTTTCTTGTCGATGTTTTTAAGAGTCTGGACTCTAGATCCAACGTGTTTTTTTCCAGTGTAGCTGTTTATTTATGGGAAAAAAATCTGAGGAATTCGGCAACGTTCGAAGGCGCTTACGTCGTTCTTCCCGAAGATGACGGTCTAGTGGAGCGCCTCACCCACCTAGCGCCGCCCGCCGGAGGAATGCCGCGCGCGCGGACCGCCGCCGCCGCCGTGCGAAGCCGCGTGATTATCCGAGCAATAAATTTTCAGTTTTGAGGCTGGTCAGTTGAAACGTCATTGTTAAGCAGAGCTTAAAGTTATTCCGAGGCAAACGTCCCGGAACGTTTTCGAGTCGGCAGGTTATTGTCGGGGGCCGGGGGCGGGGCGGGGCGGGGGGCTAGGGGGACGGCTGAAGTGAGATCGTGAGAAATCCTTGTGATTATGTTTGTATTAGCTGAAGGGGATTAACGGAGTCGTGGTGATAGGAATTGGCGCTCACTCCTCCACGATGCCACCTCGGAGGACGCGACTTTCACGTCCTCGCCGGAAAAAAGGATGTAGATATCTTTTCTCGAAGGAATTGTGTATACACATCTATGGCCAAAGCATCAAATCACGTATCTCCATCGAAAATTTTCGCTCAAATTTTACTTTTTCGGGGGGTAGCAAGCCAACTTTTTAGCTTGAAATTCACCTAGAATATTCTGCTACTAGGGAAGCTAGTCGATGCAGTTTTAAAGAAAATACGTAGTAAAATTTGTTCACAGAAAAAACGAAGTATATAATAGGAAGTCTGCAACGTACACGGAGAAAAAAACTTCGTGCATGGGACCCGAAGTTGAGGTCATATGGATCTCTGAAGTTTTCTGATCACGCATCTTAA